AATTCATGATACTATGCTTAATTCTTCATACACATACGTCGATTTTACATTGAAAAAGTAGATTTTAATTTTTGTATTGTGATTTTGAAGCTGTGCATAGATTGGATATTATGATTTCAATTTTGAGATAAAAAGTCAGTGTAACTAGCTATATCGTTTTGCATTGCTTGATTGTCTGACCACCAATTAGATAATTAGTATTCCATGTTTGTGTGTTTGTTAGGTTTTGGTTTTGTTTGAGGACAAACAATGATTCAACCTCCAAACATAAATCCATAGTCAATATAGAGATTAGACATTGCAAAAATTTTGTTACTTTACCAATATCAAAATAATGCAACTATAGCTGAAAAGTACAAGAAGAGAATACCAACAAAAGATATATTAACAATACGGGGATTAGAAAAAAATGTATAAAAATAAAAGCACTTAAAAATAATTAAAAAAGAAATTGTTAAAACTAAAATGGTAATCAAAGTAAAAAATTCCCCGACAACGGCGACAAAAACTTGTCCACTATGAAAGTTCAATCCACGAGTTCACGGGCCGCATTCAAGTAATAAAGTGGACTTATCCCTTGAGTAATGTTTACTTTCAATTATACAACTTTAATCAATTTAATTCTAATATTGAAAAGAAATACACACAATTAGGATTAAAATTTAAAAATAAGGAAAAAAATAACTAAAAATCTACAAAATAAGAAAACATAAATACTTGAGAATTTTGAAGGAAAACGTGGTTGGAATTCATGACTTTGCTTGACCATCGTCTAATTAACTTCATCACAAATCAAGTAACAAATTATTCGTTTAAGTTATTAGATCCGATTTTTGAAATTTTGCTAATTACCTCTCTCGGGCGAAATTAACCCTAATTAATTGGTTTAACGTGCTATATGTCAATTAAAACCAAAAAAGCACATTAAATCTTTGTGAAAATAGCTCAATGAGTCACCTAAGAATATATACATCTATCCACTACAAGAACTTAGGGTTTATACTATTTGGTCTAAAATGCACAATCTTATTTCAATCAATGTACAAATTACTAAACATAATCATTCATTAGCTACATAAATAAAAATGCAACTAACACATAACACAATAGTATATACAAATGGAAATAAGCTTTTTAACATTAAAAAGCAAATATTGAACTTAATTAAAGCTAGGTTAAGCTACATAAAAAAAATCCAACACAAAGAATTTAGCCAATATTAAATATATGATAACAAATGAGAGTATTTATACAATACATCACAAATGATAAAAATAAGAGAAAATACAAGATGAAAGAAAAATGCTTTTTTTGGTTGGATTTTTGAAGCAATGTATGGATTAGTCTTTGATTCACCCCCAAATCCCTCCAATTTCTTTGATTGGTTCTCCTCGTTGTGCTCTAATTCTTCACCAAAATACCAAGATAATACAAAGTAATAGAAAAGATAAAAGAAGAAAAAAGGAAGAAGAAGAATGAAGAGAAAAGAGAATGATGAAAAGTGGCTGAAAATGGCTTATAAAAGCTCTAAAAATGTGTCAAAAAATCCCTCGAAATTTGGCAAAAACAAAAAAGGCGGGGCACCCCCATCTTGCCACGCCACTCCCCTGCCCCGCGCCCCATCCCGCTTGGGGCGAGTGCAGGGCGCTTTCTTGCCCCCTTTTTTTATTTTTTATTTCCAGTTAAAATAAAAATTCAAAATTTTAAAATTCAAAACAAATAATGTTCAAACTAACTATATCAATATCAAAAGTAAGTACTCGGAACAAAAAATGTTCAAAACAAACAATGTCAAAAATAATTTCTTTTTTTTTTTTTATTCTCACGGGGAGGATTTTTTTGCTTCATTTGGGCAGGCCCCGCGGAGGCGAGGAAAATTGCCATCACTATCGGCCCAAGCTGGGAAGCAAAGCTCGGGCGCGGGCATTGCACTTTGCTCTCGGTTTAGGTTTTAAGCCCCTGCACTCGCAGGTCTTCTCTCTTTTCATTTCGTTCAGCTTAGTCATCTACTATTTGTATGATTGGTCCCTAAACTTCAATCTTGTACAATTTGGTCCTCGAATTTTGACTTTTATTTCAATCATGAGCTTAATAATTTGCATCCAAAGTCCTCCAACATTCTAACTTGTGCACTTTGGTCCCCACTTCATTGTTTTTGTACGGTTTTAGTCACTTTTCTCTTCTTTTTGCCTTATTCTCTTTTCATTTGGGGTTTATGATCTATAAAAGCCAAAATTAACCAATTGTGAGTCGATATCCGTTCTTTTTATCAATAATAAGCATATTTAGGTATTAGATAAGTGTGTTTTTGCTCCCTTATCAATCAACAAGAAGGATTTGTTGGAAATTTTTTTAGAAAGTCTGTTTTCTATCCACACCCGGTTCATCTGAGTTGTAATTGTTAGATATAAAGATATTCTCAGTACCGAACTGGTTTTTTCCTTATTGTCATATCTTTGATTTTCAAACAAAACTGATCTTTGCATAGATGTTTGATCTCCAGGACAACGAAAGTTGCACAGATTGAATTTTTCAGGGTAATATTGAGTATTAGTTTTCAAACAGATCCTCCAATACAATTTGTAATACATGGTTTAAAGATCTATTCTTTTTGCGTCTTGTTCTTCCATACTGGATCATTACAATTCGTTGACAAGGAGGTTCCCATCTTAAAATGGAATAGGAAAGCAAAACCTGCATGCCAGAAAATGTACCTGCATAATATACTTCTTGAGGAAACCTCACATTTTCTTCTGCATTTCATTCAACAAATTCTTTGCTCAAAATATAACAATTATAAAGCATATCATCTATTAATATGGGATGAGAAAATAAAAATACATTTACAGAATCAAGAAAGTATTTATTTTCAAATTAATCAGTAAATTGATTTAGAATGGATAAAAGTTACAGACACCGGCAAACAAACCATCCGATACATGGACCAAACTCACATCTTAATACCTTAATTACATTATACAAAGATGGATTGATACTGGCAGAGAGGAGTCCAATTAGAGATTTCCAGAATTTTCCAACAAGTAAACTATCAACGAGAAAGTTCTTTGAAAAGAAATTCGAGTCCCATTAATATATCCCAGTGAAAAATGTGCAATTTTAGCACTGAAAGAACCATTATAGTAGAGGATGACACGGAGCTTACTTCTGATTTTGTTCTACCTTCGACCGAATCTTCTGTTCCAACACAGAAATCTCTGTCTCCAGACTGAACATTCTGTTAAGAGCATGCATATTCTCAAGTGTCTCGTTCAATGTCCGGCTATCACTCCCATCACATCTTAGATGCTGCATCGGACCATGGAGGATCTTGTTTACAATCCCTCGACTAAGATCATCGACTGCCTTCCTCGTCTTCTTCGGAATGTCGTCACCCATTTTAGACATGCATTTTTCGAGCTCTGCTGTTCTTATTCTCTCAGCATATGCCCTCAGTTTCTTGATAGTTGGAACAGTCTCTAGTGAATCCCGCCAGGCTTCAAATTGTTTTGATTCTTCCCCAATAATTGCCTGAGCTTCCATTGCCTTCCTGAGTCGATCCTCTTTATTAGCAGCCACAACTTCCTTAAGATCATCGACATTATACACTCGTGCAGTCTCAAGGTCATTAACACATGAACCCACATTCCTTGGAACAGATATATCAACGAAAAGCCTCAATCCCCCAACAGTATCACAAACAGGTGGTAGGTCTGTCACATGCTCTTTCAAAAACAATGGGGTTTCTGATGCAGTGCTGGTAAAAACTACATCTGCTTCAGCTGCAAAGTTTAGCATTTCTTCCAGCGGTTTGTAAATTATTTCAACATCCTTAATCTCCTCACGAATGGCAGAAACTCGTTCTTCACTTCTATTTATGACCACCATTTTTGTGCACCCTTTGGCCACCAAGTGTTTGATCACAAGCTTCCCCATCTTTCCAGCACCAATCACTAACATCCTCGCAGTGGCATGGGAAGATTCAGGAAGCTTCATCAAAGCCAATTCTACTGCAGCTGAACTTACAGAAACTGCCCCAGCTGCAATGTTTGTTTCAGTTCTAACCCTCTTTCCAACAGTGATTGCGTGCTTAAAGAGGCCACTTATGTTCCTCCCAAATCCCACAATCCCTTGTCCAACTTTGACAACTTGTTTCACTTGAGCAAGAATTTGGCCTTCTCCCAATACTAAGGAATCTAGTCCAGCTGATACTTCAAAAAGGTGCTGTGTTGCATCTTTGTCATACAGCAAGAACCTGTGCTGACAAATCTCTGAAACAGGGATTCCACTAGTCTGGCAAAACATAAAAATTTAATTATGAGAAAAATCAACACAAAAATTCATACTCTATCTTCGTAAAAATGAATATGATGATAATCAGTTCATTTGTAAAACATATGCAACAAAGTTTAGTAGGCAAGCTGGAAAATCTTAATGCCCATCCCTTGCAAAATCTAGTTCTGCTGCTAGAAAAGAAAGGGGATAGAATATATGGAGACGTAAGAAGCCAAAAGCAAGAAAAGGCATCTTATTTAACATGTAGGAAAGCTATGAAAAATTGATTATTTCATCACTTTCCATGTTAATGAGAATATGTGAACAAGGGGATGTGCCTGACTGGGGGAAGAAAATCTTAGTTGGTTGAGACATGTTTTGCATAAACTTTTAGAGACTGTTGCATAAGAGAGACATGATATTGGTTGAACAAGTCAGATGAGAGAAGGTACACCAAAACTAACACGACCTATTGTAGTTTCATCTTCTAGTAAATCTAGCAATGAATTGAAAGAGTTATAAAAGATGATTATCGTAGCCTACTCCAAATCTAGTAGGAAGAAGGCTTAGTTAGTTGATCCTGTCGTCTGGTGTGTTAACGTTGAGCAAGGTGAACTATGTGACATGTTTCTAAAATTGAGATAATAGTATTTCATTTATCATCCAATAAGAAAATTTCAAGATTCTTGATAAAACACAAAAGAAAATATTACTCTAAAAAAGATTACCTTTGACATCCATTCAGTGACTTCTTTAATGCCCCGATGGCGAGAAAGAGCTACAACATAGATTTCCATTCGGTTACAGGTGCTAAGAACAGCTGCTTCTTCAATATGATTCAGACCACATAGTTCCCCAATAGCTCTTGGCCACTCTGCTTCAGGAATAGCAAGTTTCTCCCGCATTTCAACTGGTGTAGTATGAATACTGAGTCCAATCACAACAATACTGCTCCTTTCTTTTGTATATCCTAAAATCACATCAAACAAATAGCTTCAGGAACATCAAAAACACATAGATACTCGTGGAAAATGTTAAAATGAAGAAGAATTAACGCCACATAACCAGGTTATAGCATCAATAAAGTCATAAATCAAACATAAGCAACGGGAAAAACTCAAATGGAATTTTTGCTACATAGTGCCGGAAAGCACTGCTGAACAACAGATCATATTTGAACTTCATTTCCTTATTTAAGAGCATGTTTGGTTGTGCTTATAAGTAGCTTTGAACATACCTTTTATGAAATTATGTAGAGACATACTTCCAAAAAAGTAGGTTCTAAGCACAACCAAACAAGCTATAAAGAGGAATGCTGGTGTGCAAGCATTGAGTATTACAAATAGCATTTTATTGTAGTAAATATAATAGCATTATGAAAACATTTAGAAGGAAATTGACTGGGGAAAAAAAAAAGGACATTTGTTTTAAGATTCTAACAATTGATCAAACGTGTTAATAATTTAAGAAAATTCCAAATATCCAAAATTGTTTATATTGAAGTTTCACAGAAGAAAGGCAGCTTACCATGATTTCTATAGTAAAAGGTAATAACATGACCGGTCTTGCTTAAAAACTGGTTTTTTTAAGCACATCCAAACATCTTCTAATTCATTAATGCCTTCATAGGTTCATTGTAATTTTATACTCTTAACAGGTTGATATTATCTCACATTAGAGACATTGAGAATGAATAACGAATTTAGAAGGCTAAAATGAAAATGTATCCACAAATCATCAAAAGCAAATGTATCAATCCAGATTATACAAAAAGAGGTTGCTCAAAAGAAAAAATCCATACTGTCAGCAGCTGAGGTTTTGAGCTGTTCGAGAGCCGAGAGACTGGAAGCCGAAGCAGCATTTGTGGAGCCCACTTTGTCGTCGACGGTCTGAACAAAAGCATCAGAAGCAACCTCGCGGCTGATGATCCTGGAAATACTCCTCTGATTCTTAATTAAATGACATCGCTTGGGCTGAGCTACAGCCGTCTTGCAGAGCAGTCCAATCGTCGCCGGAGAAGCCGAGGCGGACATCGACATTGAAGACGACGTCGTGTTGCTGACCAGCAAAGTCTCAATCTTAGCTCCTCCAAACGTGCTCGAAACAGCCATATCCAGCAATTCTAATCAGCAAATCAAAATAAAATTATAATTAAACAAAAATTGAATCCTAAAAGCCTAAATTCCGAAATTATCAAGAACAGAGAATTATGGGATTCATAGATTTTAGGGGCGTGTGGTGTTCGAATGAAGCCCTTTTGATCTTTGGGAAGAACGATGGCTCTGATTGGTCTGTTTTTTTATTTTCGATTTCATTTTTAATTTATTTGGATTTCTTCGAATTCTGATTGGTCAATTGAGAGCACGTTTTATCCACACTCACCCACCACCACCACCACTCAACTCTACCAGTGGGATCCGCCCAAGTACGAAGTACTATTACTAAATTTTTAATTTATTTTCTTGAATATCTCCCCACAAAATAAAATAATTTAATACAATTCCTTCTGTACTTTTATTAAGAATCTACACTTTGTGTTTCGTATTCTTCTCAAATGTTGTAACTATTTATGTTTTTCAATGCATTTAATTTTTTTTTAATATCTAAAACTTGTCCCCGTAGAATGATTATCGTTTAAATAATTCATCCTGAACTTCTACTTTACTTTTTATTGTCGTGAAAATTAAGTTTACGATTTCCTAAAGCTTTGATTCTATGGTTTTCAAATTCAAAATTCTAGTTTGTAATCTCTTAAAGCATCATCTACGCTTGTCGATATTATTTTTAATATTCCTAGAAACCCTTCTTTGAAACTTAAATTTGACCTTTTAACCTTTATGCAATGGAAGCTTAGGGTCACGGGTTCATTGCATTGGACTTATTGAGTGGTAAAGATAAACTCTCATGTGACATTTTAGAATATATAAATCGTTTATAAAAAATAATATTTTTAAAAAAGGCGTCATAGAGAAAAAATTTGGTTAAAAAGCAATTGAGCATTGAGGTGTATCATGTAATTGTGAGTATAGTTGACTCGGTACAAATTTTAATGTTTAGGGTTCGTTTTATATTGATGAAAATTTAATCCATGTTTGTAATTTTTGTGTGGTATTTATCTGTTTAGTAACTGGCAATTGGCTTGGATCTATTCACAGCCGAGTTTTGAAACAATCGTAAAATTGAAAATATCATGGAACTAATCAGAATTTATTTATTTTTTAATATCAAAACTAAACATATATAACTAAATTTTTTACATTTTTCTAGTGAATATCCAACTAAGTTTTTAAACATGGATAAATAAAGTAAAATTCAATTGAACAGATCCTTCACAATCACAATATCTCATGTTAAAAGTTGTTTTATCTTTCTCTTCTAACATGAGAGTGACCCGATACATAGTCATGAACAATATTTTGGACTAAAAATAATTGAAAATGTAAACAAGTAATAATAATTGAGAGAATATGAAAGTGGAAGAAAAAGATAAGATGAGAAGAGGGGAAGTTTGAAGACTGGTGATGGAGATTGCATACAAAGATTTTGGGGTCTTTTTCTACCACAACTTCCAGTACAAGTTGTGGAAAAGATTTCAATATGGGGCCATGTTTCTATTTCATGACTAAAACTATCGGGATTTTTGACAAACTTCTTAACCATATCTTCATATTTCCTTATTATTAGTATGCGAGGAGAATATAATTACACGAACACATAGTTTGTACCTTGTGTGAAATTTAGCCTATATTTTATGTAGATTAAAATTAGACTTTTAGTAAATTTCGATATAAGTTGATAAAATGTGTGATTGAAAAGTTGTGAGATTTATTCAATTTGTAATTAAAATTATTTGTTTACTTTGATAAAAGATTTTTATCAATTTTTAATATACAACAAATAGGGGTTTAATGTGGAATTGTTTTCATTTTTTTCTAAGCAAAACACCAACACACCAATAGTAGGTTTTTAGGCGCCTCCAGAAAATGTTGATGGGTGTTTGGATTCCCCCACCATTTATTTAAAAGCAAAATCCACGAGAACAAAGTTTGGATTCCCCCACCATATATTTAAAAGCAAAATCCACGAGAACAAAGGGAAGGGACGTAAACATAACCTTCCAAAACTAATAAGATGCAACATATGAAAAGATGATACAAGAGAAGAAAAAGTACTACTTCCAACACAAAAAAAAAATGAAATTAAAACTAGTTTTCTCAAGTGCTAGGAAATCCATTCTATCTATATGCACAAGAGCTCGAAATCGTCGTAGAAGGTCAAGGGGACCATACTTCTGAAAATGGCGCTGATCCCACTCATCAATTCAAGTGAATCGAGAACCTGGTTTCCCTCATGATAAGTGTGAAAGATGTGATCAATAGAGAGAGATTGCGTCTGATCTGTCCAAAAATGATATAAATCACCGTGCGCATGTGGTACGGTGCTGCGTCTGCACATCATGGTGCTTGTGCTACACCAGTCGCAAATTTTTGGGATTGAATTTTTGAGTTGCAACGAATAGCTCATTAAATGTGAAAATCTGAGCAGCAATGTTTCCCTTTCTGTATTTCTCTATTTCTTCAGCTATATATCTTTTCCTGCTGCTATCTGCACATTGACTAATAATCATTCAAGTCTGTGCATCTCTTGTTACGAATCAAACCTTAATCCCTACTTACCAGAGCAGTAAACAACAAAATAAAACCAGAAAACAAGCAAAGCACGCACACATTTAAAAACTATGTCCATTTTGGTGACACGTTCTTTCACTGTAAAGAAAAGAAGAAGAGTACAAGGTGTTCTCACGCCTCTCACTCACAAGAACCGGTCTCTCAATGTAGTAGGAATATTTGTAAAGATGTAGCTCTATTTTCTTGCAAAACATGATGATACAAAACACAATGGAAAGCAGTCATGAGTAGGGGATGGAAAGATTGTCATTCATAAAACGAAAAAGCAAAATGAACATCATTCAATGTAGATAACCTTAGAAAAATAAACAACAAATTTGACTCGATATTTTCACCTATTCATTGATAGTGGTGATGAATAGAGAGATTGTGTCTGATCTATCCAAAAATGATCTAAATCACCCATGGTCATCCATCCTTAGTGATGCAGTGAATAGATATGGATAAATCGAGCTTACACACGTTACAGTCAAGTCACATAAATTTCATACATGTCACGGAACACATGTTAAGGTCACATATCACATAGAAACATCATTGTTCATTAGTCACACACATTATGGTCAAGTCATATAAATTACATACAGGTCACAAAACACATGGACATGTCACATATCATACAGAAATATCATTATTCATATAGATCCTAAAGACTAATCAGGTGTTTATTATTTTCTATGGTTACAGCAAATGGATACATGCTTTCATTACCTTCGTCAATTAACACGGTATGGCAAGAATGTCAATTAAGGCTACCATAACTTATACTTTCAGGATACGATCAAGAATATATATCCGAAATTTATAAAGGATCCAAATGTTCTACTCACGGAGACAAGGCTAATTAATGATATCACAGGCGTCAGAATATCATTGAGCAGTCCATTGACTGAAGTGAACCAAGTCTTAATGCCGAATTTGCCTATAAATAAGGCACATTGGATGTCGTGGTTGCTTGATATTAAGGGTCACGCACTGATTATATTCAATTAGGCCAGGATGACCTTTACCGATTTAAGTGTGAAAGGGAAAATTTAACCATATTTGAAAAGCATCCCTCATTTGATGAATGCAATTGGAATATGGAATAGAAATTCAGATGATGATTATCAAGATGATTCCATAGAGTTGAGGCTTGTGCTAGGTTATGAGGGGCCACAACAGCAAAATTGGTATGTTTGTGACAATCATTTTAACAAGTTAATTGATTAAAAAAATATCAATTTTGTGACCACTATTTCAATGTAAAAACTAATAAACCAACTTTCTTTTTTTCATCCATGATTACGGGATATTTGTAATCAAATTTGCCGAATACATTCTTCATAATGACTTGGAATCCATGTCAAAGGATTTTGATACAGCCGAGCACAGCTGGATATAGTTGCACTGCTTTATAAGCACCGTGAAATTAAGAGGGCCACCAAGGTGGTAAAGGGAAAGGTCAAAGAGGGCGTAGTTATAGATTGACAATTGAATCTATGACTGAACATTGATATAACTATGTAGTGGCTGTGGAATATGTAGATATCATTTTGTAACGATGATTATAGTTGAAGTTTATGAATGTTCATGATGTTATGAAATCTTATTTCACTACTTCTGTCTATTACATTTCGTTATTCTAAAGTCGATGTGACAAAATAATCATTTACCTGGATACATGTCACATATTATTTCCTTCAAGTTAAATGATAATATCAACAGGTCACAGATCACTATTATAAATGTTTAAATGTCACAATTTAGTAATATGCACAGGTCGCAAATAATTTCCTTGATGTCACAAATTAATATTTAGAAGTCACATAAAAAAATATTAATGGCAATAGGTCACAAACGGTCTAAGTCACAATTTAATTAATATCATGTCACATAATCATACCTAGACCTACAAATTTCACATCAGTTCTCAAATGTCAAGTCACTTTCACAATTTGAATTAATATTATTTAAACGAATAATGTATATTGACATGATAAGCCTAACACTATCCACTGCTAACAAGTGAAACAATTTAGAAAACAACGAACTTGAATACTATAACTACTATCAATGTGTATCATCAGTTGGCAACGTACTATTCACATGTAACTATGATCTTTTTTTACTTAATGAAACCAAGTTGTTGCGCGACCAATGATTGTGACCATTTTGACCACAACGCCAATATTTGACTGTTTTTTCGTTCACATTATGATCTTTTCCTCTTTTATATAGGTCTTCCTGAACTTCTTTTTTGATTAGGTGCTAATACAATTATGTCTTTCAATTCATCAGGCACTCTCTAGCCACCCAAATTTCCAATTGGAAATATAGTGTCCTGGTATGCATTCATGTATGGCTCTCTTGAGTAATAGTATGAACAATAATCATATGGATCCATCTTTATCATTGCAATGAGAGCCAATGCGTGTGGACAT